CCACTGCCCTGGTACACAGAAGCTGAAGGCCAAGAGGAAAATGGAGCAGTTTGAGAACACACAAGCCAGTTCAATTTTTTCTACTCCCCATTGAATCACTCAGCGACTTTGCCTGCTCCTGTGGAAGGTGGAATATCACAATTTTGCATCCTTCATTAGGGTTAATTAGTTCACTTGTTGATAGCACTGAATGAAAGGCCAAGTGTTGGCTCACCCGGAGGGAGTGACATCTTCCCATTCCTGCAGGAGCTTGCTGTCCAAGGAAAGCCTGGGCTGTCCCTGCCTGTGGAACTGTCCTCTATTCCTGAGGACAGGCTCCAGAATAAATCTTATTACTTTCAGTCCCACTAACATCCAGTGCTTTCAAAAATCAGGAATATGTTATTTTGTCTTCTTTGATCTCATTCAAACTGTGAAAACAACAGCCTAAGCATTTTGCCCTGCTGTATCTCGGGGAGCTGGAAACCTTTTACCAGCAAGAAACTCTTACAGCAGTTACCATGGTGACTCTGGTAATAGATATTTAAAGGCAGCTCACTCATAATCACATTTATTAGATATCAGGAGGCTTTAGAAAGAGGGGCACAAAAAGCTTGAAACCAGAGAGCAAACCAAACTTGGTGATGGTATAAGAAATTTATGGGACGGGATCTGCTTATCCCATCATTTAGCTGGACACAAAGGGCTCCTGTTCAAATCTGGAATGGCACTGAAGCTTGAAGAATAAACTATTTTTAGTTTGTCATTTAAAAATTGGTTCTGAAAGCCTCATTTCAATCGTGGTACATCAGTAAATCTTTTCAGAGTGGTCATTGCCTTAAACATAAGAAAGAGTTGTGCCACAGCTCCATCCCCCATTAGAGCCAGGCTGCTGGGAATCTCCTGGTCTGTCATCAACTGGAAACTCAAATCTGGATAAAGCTCTCTGAGTTGAAGAGGTATGTTTGGTTATATAAATGTTAAATAATTTATTTCTTTAGGTTTGAGTCCCCAGCTTTCCAATCCACTGGAACACAACCAAGAGAATGGGCAGAAGCAGATCTCCAGATAGGGAGCCACTTCACCAGGCTGGGTAAGCCTGTGTAATAGTCATCAAACTGAGATTTCCTTTCCCTTTTTGCTGCATATTTCCATGACAACTTTCCTGCAGTATCAACTTCTTTCTATTGGAAAGTTCTCTCAAAGAGAATTTAGGCTTCTATAGCAACAGCTGAAAGCTCTGGGAGATGATGATGCCTGAAACTGTTTATAGACAACACAAGCGTGTTTCAAATTTTATAGGTGAAAACAAAAGCATGTACAATATTGGGCAAACTGTGAAGAGGAGGAGTACCTAGCTGAAGTGGAACAAACACAAAGAAACCACCTAACTTTCAAAAGGGGTGCAGACTTTGAGATCTAAAACTTTAGGGAGAGCAGACAGGATCAAACACTCATCTTGAAAAGCCACATCCTGTTCCTTCTCTGAGTTACAGAGCACAGTCATAAGGAACAAGTCTGCTGATTCTAAAAGGGGATTTTAGTCCAAGATCTCTCTCTGCAGTCTATTTTATATTTACCTAAAGCAAAAAAAAAAAAAAATCATAAAATCAGTGAGTCAGGATACCTTTTGAGTTTTAACTCGAATATACCTGCCACCTACCTATAATCTAATCTTTTTCTTAGTACTTTAATCTATTTGCCATGGTAGAGACACAGTATTCTCCAACACTGAAAGGCACTTTAGAAGAAAATAAACAACCCAGTTGTCTCAAACAAATAAATTTGTTAAACTCAAAAGCCAAGGAAAGTACAGAGCCTGAAGCACAGCTTTCCTTCACTGAAATTAGATCTATTTCACAAAGCACTTCACTTCTCCAGTGCACTTTCAGACCTAAAGTCTCGTAAAGAAAAAAAGACAAAACACTACATTCGCAAGGTTAGTGAGAAGTAGGAAAGAATTAAATTTAATGTATAGATGAGAACACCATAGCATGGAAACAAAGCCCAGCAGGTCCCAGCACCTTCCCTTTTGCAGCCACTGGAAACCTCTTTGTACACAACAGGTGAGATCAGTAGTGTGACCACCTGCAAAGCCCCACTTTCTTCTGCTTGTGGTGATTAAAAGCTTTTCCTTTTTTCATTAAAATACCCACTAATTTACCTCTTCTTATTCACCCTTATATCATGACAGTTCTGATCTAGAAAAAATGGTGCCCACAGATAGGAATGGTGAAAAAGAATGGATTTGATCTAATTCTTGTTGACTTCCAGCTTCAGTCACTTCTTGCCCAGCTGAATAACTTCAGAAAATACTCTGGAACTGGCAGTTTGACAAAATAAAAGCTGAGGACTGTGAAAACTTATTTTAATTTTTTAATAACACTGCTAGAGTCTATTCAAAACCTGGGAACTCTATAACCAAGACATATGCAAAAGCAGGATTTCTGACAAACCCCTCATTATTTCCAAGATTTAGCCTGTCTGGAGAATACTGAAGTGTGGGAGTCACTGAATCACTGTAAAGGTCAAGTGAAACGCAATTATCCAGTGTCACCATGTGCTGCCCTCTGCTGAAACAGACACCGAGCTCCTTGGAGCAGCACAAAAGCTCAGGATATCTGCGCCTGCTGCTGCCGTCACACTCACTCGAATTCAAAATGTTTCATTTCGTGGGACTAGGCAAGGTTAAAAATAACCTGAGCTTTGCACTGGACGGAACAGCTCCAGGATAAGAGAGTGGCTTTCAGGGACAGCAGTCAGGGAGAAGGAAGAGGGTCGGATGCATCAGCTGCACACTCTGCAGTGATGAAGGTTCACAGGCTTCAAAAAAAGAAACAGCTGAAAGTTTCATTTGAACAACCTGTTTATCAAAGATGTGTTGGACTTTCATATTTCAAATCCTTAATCCTTAATCCTCCATCTGATTTCACCCACACAAAAAATCTGTTCCGGCAGATGAGATTATTCAAATACTCAGGCACCAGAATTTGTTTGTAGAACATGGAACAGCATGAATGGGAAGGGGAGAAAACTATTAAATATCTAGGAGGTGGAATAACATCTAATTACATATTAATATCCATAAATAAGTATAATTTATAGAAACATATTTACAAAATTCTTGCTTAAATATTTTATTTACAAATAAATAGCAACCCAGCATTTTCTCCAAAACTGAGGGAAAGGGGAAAGAAAGCCAAAGCAATATTTCAACTACACATTTAAACTCTCAGTGCTGAAATTCCCAATCCAACATATGTTTTTTTCCCTTTAGGCCTTTGGAAATTATGTTTTGCTATGTGACTCCGAAATCAACCCAGCAAGGGTATTTTGGATCAAGAAGATTGAAATCTTAAGTTGAGGGTTCCTTAGGGAGCTCATCCTGCCAGCAACCTCCCCTACCTTGTCAAGATCCTCCTGTAGTAGATTTTAACCACGTGCTTTTTCACTGGTTTTGACCTTAAAATAAAAGGGGGAAAAATACCCCCAAACAAAAAACCACAACCAAACAAAAACAAAACAACAAAAAGCAAAAACAATTTGAAAAACTCCAAGGACAAAAAAAGAAGGAATAGCAGCGGGCAGGTGGGCCCTGCTGGTGCAGCCAGTAGAGGGCAGTGGGATTTAGAGGAAAGTTGTTGAACTTCGTCTAATGAAGTATTGAAGTAATAAAACCATCCATTTAAATCGTTATTTGAACCTACCTACACTAAGACATAAGCAGGACAGAGAAAAAAAAGACTAAAATAGAAAAGAAAATTTATTACTTTGGGACCTCTAAAACACTGTGTTTTGGGATCTCAGGAAGACTTTATACCAATGCACCATTTACTTATTTTTAAAAGTAGTTTTCAGTCATTGAAATAGAATAATTCCATGCATCTTATTGAAACTAAGACAACTATTTCTCATAGATTTTAAAACCTAGGGTTACTTAAAATAGAAAAGTATCAAATAAGAAGAAAGGTGTTTTTAAGGCACTCTTATTGTCATTTGTGAAGATGAAAACTGCTTCTAGTCCACAAGAACAAGAAAATAAAACAAGTGAAGAAAAAATCAACACAAGCAAGGAACAGATTTTTTTAAATGCTCATTGCACCTTGTTTGCCAAAAGGGAAAGCAACATTTCTCACCTTATCACCAAATAGAACTCCCCAGAGCTAAGGTTTGTGCCTGATTTCACACGAGCCAAGTTCGAATTTGTGACGGAATATTGTGGATATTTTCAGAGCCCTTTTGAGCTACACATGTCCTGAAGTAACACTGCTGTCCTACGCCAGAGGAGACCGAGCTCTCCCCAGGGAGCGGCCGGGGATGTCCTGGCGCTCCGGTGGGGCCATGTCACAGCGGGGACTCCTTTGCCAGCCTCCGCTGCCTTGGGCCGTGCAGCCCCGCCGGAGCTGCGGGAGCCCGGCCGCCCTCAGAGCCCCGGCTCGGCTCCGGCGGACGGTGCGGGCACGGGCAGCGTGCGGGACCTGTTGCCCCCAGACACCGGCGCACGGCCGGAGTCAGCCGCGGGGAGGATGCGGGAACACGGCGGGAACACGGCGGGAACACGGCGACACCTCACCCCCTCCCCGCACCTCAGCCAGAGCACAGGGACCGGATCCCGCACTGCGGCACCTCGGCGCTCCCCCAGCACGGGGATGCCCGGCGCGAGGCTGCCGGTTCTCCCCGTCCCCGTCAAGTCTCCCCGCGCTGCCCTCACCTCCCCGCGCTCACCTGCAGCCGCTGCCGACCGCCGCCGCGCTCGAGGGATGCTCCGCAGCCGGAGCCCTCACCTCACCTGCACCGGCCGCCAGGGGGCTACCGTGCGGCACGCCGGGTAATGTAGTCCCCCGGCTGCCTGGGACGGCCAATCCCCGCGGCGAGCCGCGGAACATGCCGGAAGTGGTAGTTCTCCCTGAAGGCGCCGGCGCGGGGCAGACTGGGAGGTGTAGTCAAAGCTCGGCGGTGCACGGCCGGCTTCTCCCCGCTGCGGAACTACAACTCCCGTGCACCTCCGCCGCGGCGGCTCGAGCGGGCCCGGACGCGGAGCCGAGCGCCCGTGGGTGTGCGAGCCCATCATGGCGGCCCCACCGCCCTCAGCCCCGGGAGAGCCGCCGCCGCCGCCGCCGCCGCTGCAGTACAGCCTCCTGCTGCAGCACCTCGTGGGCGACAAGCGGCAGCCCCGCGTCTGGGACCCCGCCGCCCTCGGCGGAATCCCCTGCCCGCCCAAGAGCGAGGAGCAGAAGATGGTGGAGCGGGTCATGGAGAGCTGTCCCTTCAAGGCGGCGCTGGCTTGTGTGGGAGGTGCGGCGCTGGAAGGACGGGGCAGGCAGCTGTGGGGTGGTTCGGGGGTCCCTGTGGCGTCGGGACAAGGGCAGATGGAGAAGAGGCTGCAGCCCCCATGTTTTGGTATTCCTCCTAAGCCTATTCCAGTGCCTTGGACGTATTCCAGGCGGGGATCTCTGCCTGCCTTCCTTGGAGAGACACAGGTGCTCATGGCCTTTTCTCAGCATAGTACAGGCTTGTCACAAGTGTCCATAGTACCAAAAGATTCCTGCCACTGTTACAGTGCAGCACTCACAGGCAGCAGGAGCAGAGCTGCTTCATTGCCTGCAGGGGAATATACTGTTCCAACCCAGCCAAGTTAATTTAATTCTGTTTATCTTTTACAGGATTTGTTCTGGGAGGTGCATTTGGTATCTTCACAGCTGGCATTGACACCAATGTGGGCTTTGATCCCAAGGATCCCTATCGCATGCCCACAGCCAAAGAGGTGCTCAAGGACATGGGGCAGCGAGGCATGTCCTACGCCAAGAACTTCGCCATCGTGGGTGCCATGTTCTCCTGCACGGAATGCGTGGTAGAATCTGTGAGTAAGAGTCTCTCAACCATTAAGAAATGTGTTCTGGTACTCTTTAAAATCTTTTACTAGATCCAAATAAGTACATAGATCCTCTTTGCAACAGGGCAGTGGAATAGCCTGCTTTTTCCTTTCTTGGCTAGCAAAGCTTTTCAGCTTTGAGATCTGTCTTCAGAGCTGGTGTTCTTTGACAGAATGAATAACTCTGCAATAGCAAAATCCTTTTCAGTTTAAGTCCTGAATGTATTGGCAAGCATAGGCATTACTTTTTAAAACCCTAGCTTCAAGTGCTTGTGTAAAATGTCAAACTGTGAGTTGCAACATGGTAATTTGAATGTCTAAAAATTTAATATGCAGAAGGGGATCCTTTGATGAAAGTTCTCGCATAACAGGCCAGTTTTCATCTGGCCTGTACAGCCAGAAATGACCTTGTGCAGCTCAGTGGTAAATCTATCATCTGCTTTTAAATAGGAAAATTACCCTGTTATGAATTTAAGTCCTGCCTTTTAATTGAAAGGCACAATTACTTCTTAACTCATCTAGAAGAAAAGTGTATCTGCTTGCACAATGGAGCAGAACAAAGAGATCTCTGCACTGGTGAAAATCCAGCATGTCCTGGCTATGGAAATAGTCCATCTTTGTCAGCAGGTGCTGTGACTCTCACCTGTGCCAAGGACCAGCTACATGGCCAGGCTCAGGGCTGCTCTCATGTAATTATTTCACTTTTAGACTCAGGACTGTGTTCTGGGGGCTGTGCTAGCTCACCTGAGGATCCTTCCCACAGCACTGCATTGCACCATATGGATTTGTCTTACCTCTCCCACTTACCTGCTCCTTCCTCCCTTCCCAGCCCTGCAAGTTTGGGAGTGCAGGGCCATCTGCTGAGAGCAGAGGGAAGAACATCCTCAGCTGAGAAGGGGATGGAAGGTTGTTTAATCTTTCTTGCTGTTAGCACAGACACTGTTTATTCCTTATTTACTCATTGACTCTTATTTCTAATTCCACAGTATCGTGGGAAGTCAGACTGGAAGAACAGCGTTATCAGTGGCTGCATTACAGGAGGAGCCATCGGCTTCAGAGGTTTGTGGTGCTTGCTGGGACCTGTTTCTGTGATAACTGTGATAAGATTGAATTTGGTTATGCAGCACACGATGTTCTTAGTGCAACACACACACTGCAAACCTCTTTGCATGGGTTTGTGGTGAAGTCAGTGTGAGTGTGCTGTGGACTGGCAGAACTGTCAGCTCCAAAAATAATTGTGGATAAGGAAGGGTTGGTCATAGAGGAAAATCAACAAAATTCACTTGAAAGAAAAATCAGGAAATGGTGGTTGCTGTCCACACTCTTCTGTGGTGTCATGGGAGAGAGCCAAAAATACATACAGAGCAACTCAGAAGCTCTTGTGTTAACTGAGCTCTAGGCAGCTACCACCTCACTGTCTCTGCTACTCTCCTTTGAAATTAGAACTAAAGAACTCTACTCTCTTCTTTTGTACCATGTGTAAAATGATTTTCTCCTTTCTCATGTATCAGTTCAAACAGAAAATTCTACTTATATGTGAATGAGAAGGAGCACTGGGGTTTTAATCCAGCAGCACTACTGGGGACTTTCCTTTAGTGGTAACATCTGGGAAAATCCCCAGGTAGGAGAGAGCTGCTCTGTTCATCAGAAATATCAAGCTTCTCTCACTCTCCATGAGAAAAAAAACCTGTCCTGTTTTATGGAGCATAAATAAAAAGAAAGCTCTTGAAAGTGCTTCTAATTGAGCTTGTTAAATTGTGTCTGTCCTCGACCTAATCCTCTTAGAGCTGTCAGAGCAGTAGCTGCTCTTCCTATCCCTCCCTAGTCCCACCAAGCCACTTGCAGGGCTCAGATGAGAGCACAGTAAAATCAGCAGTGGCCACTGGAGGGTTCTCTTCTGTCCCCTGGGTGAGCCTGAGGACACAGCACTGAGAGAACAAATCCTGCTGGCTCCAGGCAGTGGCAGTGTCCTCTGGGAGAGTAAATGTGAGCTCAAAGAGCTGTGTGAGCTCTTTGAGCCAGCACAAGTTACTGGGAAGAAGAATATTTTTCCTACTTCGTCTCATTGTTTCTCATCCTTGCCTTGCAGCTGGGTTGAAGGCCGGGGTGATCGGCTGCGGAGGATTCGCCGCTTTCTCTGCTGCAGTCGATTACTACCTCCGGTAACAGCCCTGTCCCTCGGGAGCAACGTTCCCTGTTCCAGTGCTGCTGCTGAGAGCCTGCATCACGGCACAAACATCAGGCTTACCTTTCCACTGCCTCTGGAGTCCTGGCCAGTGTGAGCAGGGTGGTGGTGGCCACTTTCTGAATGACTAACAGCAACCTGGCTGCGAGCCCTGGCGAGCTGCTCCAGGCAGGCTTGTGGGAGCATGGGAGGATGGAGCTAGGCACAGAGCAGCATCTCCAGGACAGATCAGCTAACTTCAGTTTCCAGGAAATATGCCTGGACTCTGAGCACTTTCGATCCTTTGGGGCTGATTTTTGATTAAGTCTGTTGCCAGCATCAAAAGAAGGCAGAAGGACTATCTTCTAGGAGAAACACACCAATTTAGGTTACCACATATTTGAAGGTGCTGCAAGTGTTTTAACAGTCACCAGTTTGAAGCTTGCTACTCTGTTGGGGAGAGGTAAGATCCTGTGGAGAAATAAGTTTGTTCCAGGCTTTTCTTAAAATACCATCTGAAGACAAATCTCCATCTGTACAACTTGTCTTATTTCAAGTACAGAGATGAGCGCCAGATTTCTTTACCACGTTTTAAAGGGAAAAGCAGAAAAGAATCCTTAGCCTTTGTGTGGTTACTGGCAGATGAACAAAACAGTTTAAGGGAAAAAAAGAGGTTGTTGCTGAAGTATAATTCTCTGTAGCCACTTGGCTAGCCTGATTTAACCTCACTGTGGGAGTACAATCTTGCTACTGCTTTAATTGCCCCAGGCTCACCCCATTAGTTCCAGCAGTTTGATAGTGAAACTTAGAAAGCAGAGTTGTGAGAATAAACCAGTATTTGACAGATAACCCTGCACACAGCCTGCTTCCCATCACGTCCCTGTGCCACCTCCAAGTGCCCCAGTGTTACACAGGGGGAAGTGAAGTGTTATTTCTGACCAACATTGGTGCCGAGATCAGAACATCTGTTTGTTAGCTCAAGAAGCTGCTGCCTCTTTGATTGGTGTTCTATCTGCCCTTCTCCTCTTCTAACCAAACTCTGTCCTCAGACCTCAGAGGGTCATTTTTAACCTTTATTGAGCCACTCCATAAAGGCAAACACTACCTCTCATCTTTGAGGCAGTGGCATTTCAGATGCAGTGCACACAAGTAATATGGATTCTCCCACCCACTTCCCCTCCTTTGCATCCACAGTTTGCATCCCAGAACAGTGACAGCCCTTGTTAACCTGGGAGAGCAATATTACCCATGTGTTTTGGCTGATACAGTGGTCAGTTTGGAGGCACATTGGCTCCCATTCCCACATGGAAAGAAGTGGGGAGACAGCACCATGTCATCTATCAGATGATGTTTCCAGATCTCCTGATGTGCCTTCCTCTGCCTGTTCAGTATCCTCAGGCCAGAAGCTGTGCAAGTCAGCTGAATTTTAAGCTTGAGTAATTCTAGGCTGATTAAACAGGCTGGCTCCAGACAGTCCAGGTTTTTTTTTCTCCAAAATGCAAGGATGTAGCCCAAACCATAAGAAGTCTCTTCAAAGATTGCCTGGCACATTGCCTGTGCTTATACCACTGGCTTGAAGTGCAACTAGCAAAAATTCCACAACAGAAAAAAGAAGATGCAATACCAAGGTGATCAGTTAGTGCAAACATCAACACCACAGGGATTCTTTTGTGCAAATATCAGGGCTTTGCATTTTTATTAACATTTTTTTTCTCCTCATGAGGTTTTACAGCCATTTAAAGTTTATAATCTACAGAAATTGAAACAGAACACAAACAAAAATATATCCTTAACAACTTTTGAAAGTCAAATATTAATTAACAGTTCTATTCTACCTGTAGCTGCAAGAGTCCACCCCCCTCTTTTCCTTGCTGTAGGGACAAGCAAAAGCCAGTCATGGGGACAGCCACAGCCCATTGTGCTGGGCCGTGGGGACCGGGCCTCCAGCCACTGTCGTGGGGGGAATTTGGCTGTACAGAGTCTCCATCTGGAATGACAGTGTCGTGGACAGAGACTTGGACACATGTAACAAATCAGACACACACAGGGATCTGTAGTGCAGTCAGATCTAAAGCTCGGCCTCCTTACTGGGTCCAGGGCCAAGACAGATGCCTGGTTATTTTCTGCAATGCTGTTTCCCTTCTGTTTAGCTGGTAGTCAAGAGGAGCAGGGTCTGGAGTGTGAGCCCTTTGGAGGGGGACTGAGACCTCTCCTCCTTGGTTGCTTTGCTGGTGCAGGGCTGGCAGGTGCTGCCTTCCCCAGGGATGTGACTGAGGACATACCTGGTGCATTGGTGGCTGGGCTCTACCTGGAACAGTCCATTAGTTGGGAGGGTAAAGGCAATGCCACTGTGAGGGACACGCTTGGTCACTTCTCATCCATCTCCATTTGGCACAGGAGAGCACAGGGCCAATGCAGTTGGGGAGGTGGGGGGGCTTTTCCCACATGAAAATGGACTCAGCTCACAGAGCGAAAGGTTTCGTGTCCCAACAGGTTCCAACACTTACGTGGGAGTGTGGGGGACATCCCGGGAGCCGGACACTCGGGCAGCCTGTCCTGCCTCGGGACATGGCGTGACAACTCCAGCCATCAGCTTGGGAGGGGTCAAGAACTGGAGCCGCTAACAGACCTGAGCTGGCTGGGCACAGCTAATCCAGCAGCAACCACTCTGGGAGAAAGACAGAACAAAGCATTTCTGCCTTCAGTCACGAGGGCCATGAAGGCTTTCCTCCTCCCATCCTTCTGTGCTGGTTCCCAGGCTGGGTGACCATCCAGCTGCTGCAAAGCACTTGCCTCTGGCAGCCAAGCTGCCTCTGCCAGCCAAGGCAGGGCCATGTGCTGCCATGTGCCCAGTGCAGCAGGGAAGGCCAAGGAGGGGGGAAAAAACATCTCCTTGTCCCCATGGTGATGGGAGGAAAGCTGGTGCCCCAGCAGGCTGTGCCATGGGGTGCATGTAGCGCTCATGGCAGTGCTGGGCTGGCAGGGGCATGAGTGCCTCACTATGGCAGAGATAGAACTGAACAGCAGGTACCATGTTCTCCACCAAATTTCCAAATTGGGAAATTTGGGACCACATCAGTGCCAGAGCAGATATGGGGTCAGCCCATGGTGCATGAAGCAATCCTGCCTGGCTGGCCATCGCTTCAACCTGCTGTGGATCAAGACCACAAGAGCACCTCTGGCTCCAGCCTTGTGTGAGGGGTTACCTCATAATGCTACTCAGAGGTGAAATCCAGCGAGGGGAGCAACTGCCACGCCACACACACACAGGCAAAGCTGGGGCTGGAGAAGGGACTGGCCTGAAAACACCCAGAAGAGCCTTGGCAGGGAGGAAGCAGCACCCTGCTCCTCTTCTCGTGGTCGCAGGTTTGCTCGGGCCGGAGCAGGATCCAGGCACAGGGTCCAACATTTGCGCAGGCAGCGAAGCCAAAGCAGAGCTTGTTGTCACTGTCACCAGGAAGGGAAGCCCGTGAGCTCCCGGCCTCAGAGCAAGCTGGTGCTGCACATGCAGGTGTGGGCAGGGAGCTGGGCAGCAAACAGGCACTCGTGGGGCACTGCAGGCTTCAGGCGACAGGTGTCTGGTAGGAGTGAGCAGGCAGAAAGGAGTCCAGGAGAAAACTAGCCAAGGGGGAAGCCTGTGTCCACAGCTCTTGTCAGTCACTACCTCTTTCGTTGAGCAAATATACATAAAAACAATCCTTGAACACAAGAAGGGACATAAGACACGACTACTTTACAGAGAGGGCCTGGCACCTGGTGGGACCGGGCCACTGGAACGTGATTGTACAGGAGCTGCTGGCAGCACCGTCCTGGGTCTGGGCTGGTCTCCCCTGGGGACTGTGATCCAGTCCATGTCCCCCAGCAGGGAACTGGAGTGTTTGCAGCTGGTGCCTTCTGCCTGCAGGCTACACATCCGTGGAGAAGTAAAGTGTGTTGCGTTTGAGCTCAGTGAAGGAGATGGGAGGATGCTGCAGGTAGTAGAGAAGGACCTGGACCTGTAGAAGGTAAAGGGGGGGGGGGGTTTACTACAGAAATGTATGTTACTACAGAAAGGGGAAGAGCTGCCACCTCCCAGCTTGTCCCATCCAGCAAAGTAACAAATCTACCCAAACAGGCAGGTGAACCCCTCCAGTACCCACCCAGCTCTTACCTGGGCCATCACATCATGGGACCAGATGTCAGAGGCCAAGGTGAGGTGTGTCTTGCTCTCCCCCTCTGAGGGTCTTAGAAGTGTTGGCCCGAAGACTGTGGCCAGATTGTGGAGAGACATTTTGTTGATAGGCTCCTTTTCAGCCACCCTGTGGGGTACAGGGAGAGAGGCAGTGTCAGCCCCTAATGATGTTCAGGAGTGGGGAGCCATGGGGCATTGTGGAGGCCGAGAGCTGCTCTCCCTTCTCCCAGCAGCAGTAAGGCACCTCCAACTTTTCACTGTCCTTTGTAGCCCTCGGAAAACCCAGGTGCAGGGCAGGGAGCTCTGCCCCCTTCACGGCCTCCGTCGGAGCCGCCGGGCCTGGCCGGGAGCCCTGGGTGTGATGTGGCAGCAACCAAGCGCTCACTTCTGCACTGCGGGGCCTCCACCCTTCCCGAGCCTGCAGGGTACCGGGAGCTCTGCACCAGCCTGTGCCCCCTGCACCCACTCCCCTCGAGGCTCCCTGCCCCAACAACCCTGTGGGAGCCCCGCCAGCATCGAGGGAAGCAGGACCATAACATTGCCATGTTAGGAGGCAGCTGTGCTCCCCGGCACAGGCTGCTCGCTTGAGCCCCGGCCAGGGGAGCAGATGTGGGAACTGGCTGTGCCCAGTTCTCAGGATGGATTTTTCCTTCTCCATCCCCCAGCATCAATCACTTTTTCTGTTTGGTTTTAGCCAAACCAGAGGAAAAAAAAAAAGCCTTCATGATGCAAGTAACATGAGCCATAAGCCCCAGTTCCAAGCTCTGGCCAGGCTCTGTGTTCTGCTCTGCTGTCCTTCCACATGCAGCCCTGTGCCTTCCATGGGTTTTGGGTCCCCAGGTTTGGATGCATCTCATCTGGGCCAAGACAAAGCCTGTCAAACCACACACCGACTGCTTCACTCACCCTGGGACAGGTGACATCAGGTGTCACCTGCAGTTCTGGGACATTTCCACAGTGCTGCCTATCATTGGTTTTTGCCAACCGCTGCTGACAGGTGACAGGGATTGTTGCACCTTGTAGCAAGGGCTACTGCTGGACTGGAGGGAAGGGACACAGAGCTGTTTTCCTGCTAAGGGGGACACTGCAGAGCTCCTAATTGATTCCCGTCCTGTGCTGAGGCCAGCTGCTCCCTGCAGAGCTCATCCAACCAGCTGCACACCGGCTGCAGCAGCCAAGTGTTCTCTGTTTCCAGGGGCCGCGTGCTCCCTGCAGAGTTGACCTGGAGTTACTGGCCAGGCACAGCACAGGCCCTGCTGGCACCATGGCCGGTGGTCCTGGGACACCAGGGGCTGCTCTGGAGGAGCAGAACGGCTCCAGGATAGCCCCCAGCATCCTACAGGGCCCAAGGAGAGAAGATGTGGAAAGCCAACACCAATACCAGAGAAGGGTCTGAACAAGCTGCAGCCTGGGAATACACCAGAGCCCAGAGAGATGGGGCAGGTGGGACACACCTGGAGCTGTACCCTCTTGGAAGGGCTGGGACAGGACCGCTCCATACCTGCTGCTGCTGGCCCTGGCTGCACCAGCACAGCACCATCTGCCTCCAGTCTGGGATCAGTCTGCAGCCATGCAGGCACCACAGGAATCAAACAGCAGCTCAAACTCTGTTCATGTCCCACCCCCACAGAAAAGCAGTGAGACAGACTCGTCCTGCATCTCCCACCCATCCCAG